CAACCATTCAAAGAAACTACCAATTAGGAGCAAACTGAATCAAATCATCAAGCTGAACAGAAATGCAAAAATGATTTTTATTTCAAGCCAAAAATGAATAATCCAATCCACAATAATGTAACCAGAGTGGAGTTGATTCAGTTTGACATTGGAAATCTTTAAAAATGTGAACTGACTAAACTAATTAGACTAATCAAAAACCAAATTATTCTAAATTAAACATGCTAAGTACCCACCGCATATCTGCTATATATTCCTGTTCGTGTACCAAAACCGTCTAATCATAAGTGGAGCACTAATTTATGATCTCCACTTATAAAGCATTTGCTTACATGCCAAAACAAAAATTTGCCTATTAGAAATAGCACAATAAATCCGTGTCTCGTCATTTACATGTAGAGAAAATTTGTTACGAATAATTTATTTTTGAACGTATCTAAATAACCAAGACAAATATGAACCCATCATATACTCATTGTGGTGGACCCACATGTCTGTTTAAGCAAAAAAACATTTACTAGTAGGTTGTGTGACAAAACTCCCGATTCTTTAAGATTCATTACCAATTACAAGAGGTAATGATACAAAAAGATTCTTGTTTCTTGTACATAATTTCTTATACGGCTCGTGTTACAATGAACAGTGGCACTTTCTAATTTAATGAGAGATGGGAACGTTTGAAGCCTGAAAAGCATCATGATCTATATATTTAGAAATGTATGTTTTTCAGGCTTCCACAAGGATAAACTAATCAGTTGTATGTTTGCCCGCATGTCATCTTTTACATTTCTGAAAATAGGAAAATACTCCACCATATATATACTAATAACGTGATGTTGTATACTGAGAGATCTCCCAAAATGATGTTTTTTATAAAGTTTCATCAAAATTTTTATTTGAAATAACCAACACTTATTCATTCACATACAGATTTACGTAAACAATAATAATTTATACCAACAAAACATATTTGCCAATTACATGAAGTAGGATCTATTACATGAC